CCTGACGCTGACAGTAGTGACAGCAAGAGTCAGCCTGACGCTGACAGTAGTGACAGGAAGAGTCAGCCTGACGCTGACAGTAGTGACAGGAAGAGTCAGCCTGACGCTGACAGTAGTGACAGGAAGAGTCAGCCTGACGCTGACAGTAGTGACAGGAAGAGTCAGCCTGACGCTGACAGTAGTGACAGGAAGAGTCAGCCTGACGCTGACAGTAGTGACAGGAAGAGTCAGCCTGACGCTGACAGTAGTGACAGGAAGAGTCAGCCTGACGCTGACAGTAGTGACAGGAAGAGTCAGCCTGACGCTGACAGTAGTGACAGGAAGAGTCAGCCTGACGCTGACAGTAGTGACAGGAAGAGTCAGCCTGACGCTGACAGTAGTGACAGGAAGAGTCAGCCTGACGCTGACAGTAGTGACAGGAAGAGTCAGCCTGACGCTAACAGTAGTGACAGGAAGAGTCAGCCTGACGCTAACAGTAGTGACAGTGAAGAGTCAGCCTGACGCTGACAGTAGTGACAGTGAAGAGTCAGCCTGACGCTGACAGTAGTGACAGGAAGAGTCAGCCTGACGCTAACAGTAGTGACAGGAAGAGTCAGCCTGACGCTAACAGTAGTGACAGTGAAGAGTCAGCCTGACGCTGACAGTAGTGACAGGAAGAGTCAGCCTGACGCTAACAGTAGTGACAGTGAAGAGTCAGCCTGACGCTGACAGTAGTGACAGTGAAGAGTCAGCCTGACGCTGACAGTAGTGACAGGAAGAGTCAGCCTGACGCTGACAGTAGTGACAGGAAGAGTCAGCCTGACGCTAACAGTAGTGACAGGAAGAGTCAGCCTGACGCTAACAGTAGTGACAGTGAAGAGTCAGCCTGACGCTGACAGTAGTGACAGTGAAAGATACGGTTCATGTACAACAAATAATACAGCAGGTTGCGACAATAAACTAAATTAGATCATTATCGCTGTTTTTATACAGCTTAAATGTTGTGTTGTTTACTAAGTATAGGGAAGGTGCTACAGTTGGTAAGGCCCCGTACTCGCGTTAGCTCGAGGTTGTGTATAAAACTCACGTGAGGCTAATGACACCGGGACCTGAAAAATGGTTTAGGAAGGACATTCAAGAGAATAAAGAAGCAGGATAGTCATGTGGTGGTTGTTTAAGATTCGCTAATTGGAAGAAAAAGTTCAAAGTAGCACGGGCTATGGTGAGCCCGTAGTGGACTTACCTGGCACAGGAGCGGGGCAAGTAGCACGGGCTATGGTGAGCCCGTAGTGGACTTACCTGGCACAGGAGCGGGGCAAGTAGCACGGGCTATGGTGAGCCCGTAGTGGACTACCTGGCACAGGAGCCGGGCAAGTAGCACGGGCTATGGTGAGCACGTAGTGGACTACCTGGCACAGAAGCGGGGCAAGTAGCACGGGCTATGGTGAGCCCGTAGTGGACTTACCTGGCACAGGAGCGGGGCAAGTAGCACGGACTATGGTGAGCCCGTAGTGGACTACCTGGCACAGGAGCGGGGCAAGTAGCACGGGCTATGGTGAGCCCGTAGTGGACCTACCTGGCACAGGAGCGGGGCAAGTAGCACGGGCTATGGTGAGCCCGTAGTGGACTTACCTGGCACAGGAGCGGCGCAAGTAGCACGGGCTAGGGTGAGCCCGTAGTGGACTTACCTGGCACAGGAGCGGGGCAAGTAGCACGGGCTATGGTGAGCCCGTAGTGGACTTGCCCCGCTCCTGTGCCAGGTAAGTAGCACGGGCTATGGTGAGCCCGTAGTGGACCTACCTGGCACAGGAGCGGGGCAAGTAGCACGGGCTATGGTGAGCCCGTAGTGGACTACCTGGCACAGGAGCGGGGCAAGTAGCACGGGCTATGGTGAGCCCGTAGTGGACTTACCTGGCACAGGAGCGGGGCAAGTAGCACGGGCTATGGTGAGCCCGTAGTGGACTTAACTGGCACAGGAGCGGGGCAAGTAGCACGGGCTATGGTGAGCCCGTAGTGGACTTGCCCCGCTCTTGTGCCAGGTAAGTAGCACGGGCTATGGTGAGCCCGTAGTGGACTACCTGGCACAGGAGCGGGGCAAGTAGCACGGGCTATGGTGAGCCCGTAGTAGACTTCCCTGGCACAGGAGCGGGGTAAGTAGCACGGGCTATGGTGAGCCCGTAGTGGACTACCTGGCACGGGAGCGGGACTTTGCTCATGTGGTCACTAGAGGCGTTATATAGCTGCTGACCTTAACTGTCTGTCTGTGGTAGCGGTCCACACCACCAGCGGTACAGCTGCCAGGCTCCCCAGCAGTTCTCTCCACGCGTGTTCACACCAGTAGCTGAACGCTCGGGAGAACGTTCTCCAGGGCGTTCACAATCTTCACTGTTGTACTAAATTGCCCGAACCTAACCTACCCGAGGAACGTTCCAAAAGGATAGAGACCTCTATCTCTCTAAGGAACGCGCGAAGTCATAGACTAGTGGGTCGTTTTCCAGGGAAAACTAGTGGGTAAGGTAGTTTACTAGTGGGTAAACTAGTTACCAGGAGCTGTGGGAAGTGGAAACTCTTAGCCTGCTAACAGGAGTCAGAAGTCGTCTGTTCCTGTATCCACCTGTGGGGGAGGGGGAGGGAGGGGAGAGAGGGAGTAAGAGTGCGCGGAATGAATATGTGAGAGTAAAATGAGTCGGAAGCAATATGAAAATAACGTTACATCTTCGCTATTTTTTCAACCAACTTCGACCCAAACTTGTGCAAAGCTGCACTAGGATATTACGGGTGAAAGAACAGATAATCAGACAAAATAAGCTAGGTACACAGAAAATGACAAGGAAGTGTGTGAAGTACTAAACGAAGTTGTTTTAGATTCATCTACTCTGAACAAAATGTGCATGTAGCACGGGCTATAGTGATCCCGTAATACTTCACGAAAAGCTTCCAGGAAGTGTTGGCAAGAGGCAAATCACCCAGCAGAACGGAGTCCTGGTAGCAAATGGAAGGTACCGATGAGAGGAAGGGAGGGAGGTAGTGCAGGCGATGTGTCACAATAACGTGGCTAAATTATGTTGACCAGACCACACACTAGAAGGTGAAGGGACGACGACGTTTTGGTCCGTCCTGGACCATTCTCAAGTCGATTGACAATCGACTTGAGAATGGTCCAGGACGGACCGTAACGTCGTCGTCCCTTCACCTTCTAGTGTGTGGTCTGGTCAACAAAGAAAGTGCAGGCGAGAAGGTGTCAGCTGAAGCCCTCGGGGATCAGTGTTGTGACCCATTATATTACTCTTGTGAATGACAACCGGACAGGAAATAAAATCATGTGTAACCACGTCTGCGGAGAGTTCAACATTGACGAAGTAGAAAAAAAGATGACTGTGGGAGAGTAAAAGATTTAGATGCATTCCAGCGGTGGTTGGACATATATGCTTTTGTTTAACTCTGTCAGTTACAAAATAGAACGGTTGAGGGTGGGAGGGACGAGGGGGGGGGGGAAGATATCAGAGACAGTACGGAGGTACAGACCGTTGGGTCAGGGCACTGACCCAACGGTCTCCACTATCCCTTCCCTGACAGGATGGTGACATAGCCGCCAACATTACAATGATGCCACCTTTGTACAGAGCACCTGTATACTCCTAGTTATAAGACTTATCTTCCCCACTATCTCTTACTCTTCTCACTTCGCCAAAATCACTTACGTCCTCTAATTACTCAACACAAAGCTGCTATTAGGACAATATCCAACTCTGGCCCCAGACATCACTCGGTACCCCTACTCAAATCTCTGAATATGTTAGATATTAAGTCACTGCACATTCTCTCATGTGTATTATACATATATAAAACGCTGAACTGTAATGCCAATCCTGACCTCAAAAGCTTCATTGAAGGTTGTAACAGAACCCATGAGCACCACACCAGAAATAAATACAGTTTTGATATTCCAAGAGTACGACTTAACCAAACTAGAAATGCTCTACAAATCAAGGGACCCAGAATGTGGAATGACCTTCCCAATCATGTTAAAGACTGTACCTCTCTCAACCAGTTTAAGGTAAAAACGAAGCACCACCTAATAAATTCCCTGTAACCTACCTTACCCCTATATTGTCAACCCATGTCTGTTTTAATTTTTTTTCAAAGCAACGCTGTTTGAATGTAATTGTCTGTAATAATTTGTAATTGTATTTGTGCTGCTTTTTCAGCCATGTTCCCCCCTCTTTTACCTCTATTTTTATTTGTTCTCAACACATTTTATTCTTTATACCCATTAGTATTAAGCTTTAGTCATTAATGTTTTTCCTGCCCGAAACGCTTTGCGTAATAGTAGCTTTAGGCATTGTATGTACTAGCTCTATCTATAAATCCAACAAACTTTGTAAAATCTCTTGTATGTATGTACCTTACCTAAATAAACATTTATTTATTTATTTATTTATTTCAACAAGTCAAGTGGAACGGTCCCGTGGCCCATGCGGTTACCTGTAAAATCTGGGGAGCCACTTGATCTGGGCATCTGTTTACCCTTGTAGCAGGGTTAGGCTGTCTTGGGGGACATTGTGTCCACACACAGGAGGACAAGTCACTGAGGGCTGACCTCTGCGAGTCCCAACCCACCAAGTGAAGGACGGAGTGCCTGGCCCTCAGCTTAGGAGAGCTTATTCTTAGTAAGGGAAAGGAAGAAAACAAGATAGAATGAAGAGGAACTGAGACAATGAGAAGTCACAGAGTAAAAATCCGCCCCCTTGCCGGGGGGTGGGGGGGGGGGGGGCTAGCTCTGAGAAACAGTGAACTAGCCATCCTGTCATCCACTCTCAAGGTAAAGTTTTCTAAAGTAATAACTACGAAGGACGCCTCATTTCTAGCACTTTGCTACCAGGATGAAGATGTTGACACAGTCATCAAAGGAGAAAATATATGTAAGTTGATGGATAAACATTCTCCAGGTCATTATTCGGCCAGAGCCGCAGGCCAGGAAGACAATAGTCGTGAAGAGACCTGACCCAGCACTCACTAACCACGTCTCTGAAACATAAAGCGCCACATAGAAGAAAGGAATGATTGGGCCAAGGTAGTAGTAGTAATTCTCATGCAGAGTTTGTCACCATGGGAGCCGGTCGGCCGAGCGGACACCACACTGGACTTGTGATCCTGTGGTCCCGGGTTCGATCCCGGGCGCCGGAGAGAAACAATAGGCAGAGTTTCTTTCACCCTATGCCCCTGTTACCTAGCAGTAAAATAGGTACCTGGGTGTTAGTCGGCTGTCACAGGCTGCTTCCTGGGGGTGGAGGCCTGGTAGAGGACCGGGCCCCGTGGACACTAAAACCCCGAAATCATCTCAAAATAACCTCAAGATAACCTCAAGATGATGAAAATAAGATTCGAAGAAATTTCCATGGCACAAAAAGCCCTCATCCATTGCCACTACCACCACCTGAGCACGGAGAGCTACCACCATGAGCAAGAATAATACTATAACATAACCCCTTGTTGGACATGCTATAAATACGACCACACAGTAGCAGAGTGCCTACAAACGGTCACAGTATGTTCAGAATGTGGCCAGCAGGGGGACACACATACAGAGACTGTTCAGAATGTGGCCAGCAGGGGGACACATACAGAGACTGTTCAGAATGTGGCCAGCAGGGGGACACATACAGACACTGTTCAGAATGTGGCCAGCAGGGGGACACATACAGAGACTGTTCAGAATGTGGCCAGCAGGGGGACACATACAGACACTGTTCAGAATGTGGCCAGCAGGGGGACACATACAGAGACTGTTCAGAAGGTGGCCAGCAGGGGGACACATACAGACACTGTTCAGAAGGTGGCCAGCAGGGGGACACATACAGACACTGTTCAGAATGTGGCCAGCAGGGGGACACATACGGACACTGTTCAGAATGTGGCCAGCAGGGGGACACATACAGAGACTGTTCAGAATGTGGCCAGCAGGGGGACACATACAGACACTGTTCAGAATGTGGCCAGCAGGGGGACACATACAGAGACTGTTCAGAATGTGGCCAGCAGGGGGACACATACAGACACTGTTCAGAATGTGGCCAGCAGGGGGACACATACAGACACTGTTCAGAATGTGGCCAGCAGGGGGACACATACTGACACTGTTCAGAAGGTGGCCAGCAGGGGGACACATACACTGTTCAGAATGTGGCCAGCAGGGGGACATAAAGAGACTGTTCAGAATGTGGCCAGCAGGGGGACACATACGGACACTGTTCAGAATGTGGCCAGCAGGGGGACACATACAGACACTGTTCAGAAGGTGGCCAGCAGGGGGACACATACAGAGACTGTTCAGAAGGTGGCCAGCAGGGGGACACATACAGAGACTGTTCAGAATGTGGCCAGCAGGGGGACACATACAGACACTGTTCAGAAGGTGGCCAGCAGGGGGACACATACAGAGACTGTTCAGAATGTGGCCAGCAGGGGGACACACACAGAGACTGTTCAGAATGTGGCCAGCAGGGGGACACATAGTGACACTGTTCAGAATGTGGCCAGCAGGGGGACACACACAGAGACTGTTCAGAATGTGGCCAGCAGGGGGACACACACAGAGACTGTTCAGAATGTGGCCAGCAGGGGGACACATAGTGACACTGTTCAGAATGTGGCTAGCAGGGGGACACATACAGAGACTGTTCAGAATGTGGCCAGCAGGGGGACACATACTGACACTGTTCAGAATGTGGCCAGCAGGGGGACACATGCAGACACTGTTCAGAATGTGGGCAGCAGGGGGACACATACAGAGACTGTTCAGAATGTGGCCAGCAGGGGGACACATACAGACACTGTTCAGAAGGTGGCCAGCAGGGGGACACATACGGACACTGTTCAGAAGTTGGCCAGCAGGGGGACACATACAGACACTGTTCAGAATGTGGCCAGCAGAGGGACACACATAGAGACTGTTCAGAATGTGGCCAGCAGGGGGACACATACGGACACTGTTCAGAAGGTGGCCAGCAGGGGGACACATACAGACACTGTTCAGAATGTGGCCAGCAGGGGGACACATACGGACACTGTTTAGAATGTGGCCAGCAGGGGGACACATAGAGACTGTTCAGAATGTGGCCAGCAGGGGGACACATACGGACACTGTTTAGAATGTGGCCAGCAGGGGGACACATAGAGACTGTTCAGAATGTGGCCAGCAGGGGGACACATACGGACACTGTTTAGAATGTGGCCAGCAGGGGGACACATAGAGACTGTTCAGAATGTGGCCAGCAGGGGGACACATACGGACACTGTTTAGAATGTGGCCAGCAGGGGGACACATACAGAGACTGTTCAGAATGTGGCCAGCAGGGGGACACATACGGACACTGTTTAGAATGTGGCCAGCAGGGGGACACATACAGAGACTGTTCAGAATGTGGCCAGCAGGGGGACACATACGGACACTGTTTAGAATGTGGCCAGCAGGGGGACACATACAGAGACTGTTCAGAATGTGGCCAGCAGGGGGACACATACGGACACTGTTTAGAATGTGGCCAGCAGGGGGACACATACAGACACTGTTCAGAATGTGGCCAGCAGGGGGACACATACAGACACTGTTCAGAAGGTGGCCAGCAGGGGGACACATACAGACACTGTTCAGAAGGTGACCAGCAGGGGGACACATACGGACACTGTTCAGAATGTGGCCAGCAGAGGGACACATACAGAGACTGTTCAGAATGTGGCCAGCAGGGGGACACATAGTGACACTGTTCAGAATGTGGCCAGCAGGGGGACACATACAGACACTGTTCAGAATGTGGCCAGCAGGGGGACACATACTGACACTGTTCAGAATGTGGCCAGCAGGGGGACACATACTGACACTGTTCAGAATGTGGCCAGCAGGGGGACACATACTGACACTGTTCAGAATGTGGCCAGCAGGGGGGACATACAGACACTGTTCAGAATGTGGCCAGCAGGGGGACACATGCAGACACTGTTCAGAATGTGGCCAGCAGGGGGACACATACAGAGACTGTTCCGAATGTGGCCAGCAGGGGGACACATACAGACACTGTTCAGAAGGTGGCCAGCAGGGGGACACATACGGACACTGTTCAGAAGTTGGCCAGCAGGGGGACACATACAGACACTGTTCAGAATGTGGCCAGCAGAGGGACACACATAGAGACTGTTCAGAATGTGGCCAGCAGGGGGACACATACGGACACTGTTCAGAAGGTGGCCAGCAGGGGGACACATACACTGTTCAGAATGTGGCCAGCAGGGGGACACATACGGACACTGTTTAGAATGTGGCCAGCAGGGGGACACATAGAGACTGTTCAGAATGTGGCCAGCAGGGGGACACATACGGACACTGTTTAGAATGTGGCCAGCAGGGGGACACATAGAGACTGTTCAGAATGTGGCCAGCAGGGGGACACATACGGACACTGTTTAGAATGTGGCCAGCAGGGGGACACATAGAGACTGTTCAGAATGTGGCCAGCAGGGGGACACATACGGACACTGTTTAGAATGTGGCCAGCAGGGGGACACATACAGAGACTGTTCAGAATGTGGCCAGCAGGGGGACACATACAGACACTGTTCAGAATGTGGCCAGCAGGGGGACACATACAGACACTGTTCAGAATGTGGCCAACAGGGGGACACATACTGACACTGTTCAGAAGGTGGCCAGCAGGGGGACACATACACTGTTCAGAAGGTGGCCAGCAGGGGGACACATACAGAGACTGTTCAGAAGGTGGCCAGCAGGGGGACACATACAGAGACTGTTCAGAATGTGGCCAGCAGGGGGACACATACAGAGACTGTTCAGAATGTGGCCAGCAGGGGGACACATACGGACACTGTTTAGAATGTGGCCAGCAGGGGGACACATACAGACACTGTTCAGAATGTGGCCAGCAGGGGGACACATACAGACACTGTTCAGAAGGTGGCCAGCAGGGGGACACATACAGACACTGTTCAGAAGGTGACCAGCAGGGGGACACATACGGACACTGTTCAGAATGTGGCCAGCAGGGGGACACATACAGAGACTGTTCAGAATGTGGCCAGCAGGGGGACACATAGTGACACTGTTCAGAATGTGGCCAGCAGGGGGACACATACAGACACTGTTCAGAATGTGGCCAGCAGGGGGACACATACTGACACTGTTCAGAATGTGGCCAGCAGGGGGACACATACTGACACTGTTCAGAATGTGGCCAGCAGGGGGACACATACTGACACTGTTCAGAATGTGGCCAGCAGGGGGGGACATACAGACACTGTTCAGAATGTGGCCAGCAGGGGGACACATGCAGACACTGTTCAGAATGTGGCCAGCAGGGGGACACATACAGAGACTGTTCAGAATGTGGCCAGCAGGGGGACACATACAGACACTGTTCAGAAGGTGGCCAGCAGGGGGACACATACGGACACTGTTCAGAAGTTGGCCAGCAGGGGGACACATACAGACACTGTTCAGAATGTGGCCAGCAGAGGGACACACATAGACTGTTCAGAATGTGGCCAGCAGGGGGACACATACGGACACTGTTCAGAAGGTGGCCAGCAGGGGGACACATACGGACACTGTTTAGAATGTGGCCAGCAGGGGGACACATAGAGACTGTTCAGAATGTGGCCAGCAGGGGGACACATACGGACACTGTTTAGAATGTGGCCAGCAGGGGGACACATAGAGACTGTTCAGAATGTGGCCAGCAGGGGGACACATACGGACACTGTTTAGAATGTGGCCAGCAGGGGGACACATACAGAGACTGTTCAGAATGTGGCCAGCAGGGGGACACATACGGACACTGTTTAGAATGTGGCCAGCAGGGGGACACATACAGAGACTGTTCAGAATGTGGCCAGCAGGGGGACACATACGGACACTGTTTAGAATGTGGCCAGCAGGGGGACACATACAGAGACTGTTTAGAATGTGGCCAGCAGGGGGACACATACAGACACTGTTCAGAATGTGGCCAGCAGGGGGACACATACAGACACTGTTCAGAATGTGGCCAGCAGGGGGACACATACAGAGACTGTTTAGAATGTGGCCAGCAGGGGGACACATAGTGACACTGTTCAGAATGTGGCCAGCAGGGGGACACATACAGACACTGTTCAGAATGTGGCCAGCAGGGGGACACATACAGACACTGTTCAGAATGTGGCCAGCAGGGGGACACATACAGACACTGTTCAGAAGGTGGCCAGCAGGGGGACACATACAGACACTGTTCAGAATGTGGCCAGCAGGGGGACACACACAGAGACTGTTCAGAATGTGGCCAGCAGGGGGACACATAGAGACTGTTCAGAATGTGGCCAGCAGGGGGACACATACGGACACTGTTTAGAATGTGGCCAGCAGGGGGACACATAGAGACTGTTCAGAATGTGGCCAGCAGGGGGACACATACGGACACTGTTTAGAATGTGGCCAGCAGGGGGACACATACAGAGACTGTTCAGAATGTGGCCAGCAGGGGGACACATACGGACACTGTTCAGAATGTGGCCAGCAGGGGGACACATACAGACACTGTTCAGAATGTGGCCAGCAGGGGGACACATACAGACACTGTTCAGAAGGTGGCCAGCAGGGGGACACATACAGACACTGTTCAGAATGTGGCCAGCAGGGGGACACATACAGACACTGCATGAATAAATCAAACCCAAACCCAATGTCCCCACTGTGAGGGTCCCCACTGTGAGGGTCCCCACTGTGAGGGTCCCCACTGTGAGGGTCGCCACTGTGAGGGTCGCCACTGTGAGGGTCGCCACTGTGAGGGTCGCCACTGTGAGGGTCGCCACTGTGAGGGTCGCCACTGTGAGGGTCGCCACTGTGAGGGTCGCCACTGTGAGGTTCGCCACTGTGAGGTTCGCCACTGTGAGGGTCGCCACTGTGAGGTTCGCCACTGTGAGGGTCGCCACTGTGAGGGTCGCCACTGTGAGGGTCGCCACCGTGAGGGTCGCCACTGTGAGGGTCGCCACTGGGAGGGTCGCCACTGTGAGGGTCGCCACTGTGAGGGTCGCCACTGTGAGGGTCGCCACTGTGAGGGTCGCCACTGTGAGGTTCGCCACTGTGAGGTTCGCCACTGTGAGGTTCGCCACTGTGAGGTTCGCCACTGTGAGGTTCGCCACTGTGAGGTTCGCCACTGTGAGGGTCGCCACTGTGAGGGTCGCCACTGTGAGGGTCGCCACTGTGAGGGTCGCCACTGTGAGGGTCGCCACTGTGAGGGTCGCCACTGTGAGGGTCGCCACTGTGAGGGTCGCCACTGTGAGGGTCGCCACTGTGAGGGTCTCCACCGTGAGGGTCTCCACCGTGAGGGTCTCCACCGTTAGGGTCTCCACCGTTAGGGTCTCCACCGTTAGGGTCTCCACCGTGAGGGTCTCCACCGTGAGGGTCCCCACCGTGAGGGTCCCCACCGTGAGGGTCCCCACCGTGAGGGTCCCCACCGTGAGGGTCCCCACCGTGAGGGTCCCCACCGTGAGGGTCCCCACCGTGAAGGTCCCCACCGTGAGGGTCCCCACTGTGAGGGTCCCCACCGCACACTGGCATCAATATGTCCCACTAGGAAGGACATCCTAAAACAAAAAAGGGCCGAAGCCACAGCGAAAAAGACAGCAATGGCCAATAATACCTCTGCAGGTATAACTACCACCAATGCATGGTCAAACAAGGTATCACACAATTCAGCAAACATGACCTCACAGGTAATTGGTGACCTAAGAAGCCCAGGGTCATTTGGATCCGTAATTAAGGAAACGTACAAGAGGAATGGTCTCTCAGAAATGGAATTCCCAGACAATTCCTCCTCCTTTAAAATTATAAAAGCCCTGATGGACAGCAATATAATCAGCACCACCCCAACTGAGACCAACTCCCAGCAAGTGCCAGCACTCACGACCCCAGCCACCATCAACGAGCCAGAGGTAGATGAAACAACACAAACAACCACCACTAATGACCTCCGAAGGGGGCTCACAAACAACCAAACATACAACCAAACATACAAGTTCAACAGGATACACAAGCTCAGGGACACGCAATGGGCATCACTGCTCACCGCACACCCACAGACAATGTTGCACACTCACACACAGACACCCAGGACTCAGAAAATATCCCTAACAAAATCGAATTCTTCTCAAGACACGCAACCCACACGGTCAACCGCAAGACCTTCCAAGAACGTATCAAAACTCCGCACGTAAAGTTCCAACACAACGTTCCCAAGGTCAATACGAGTGACGTCTACAGCCAGATAATGTCGCATTCTTTCAAGCAAAACCCCATAACCATTCAACAGATAAGCGACGATAAGTTTAATGCAATGCGCAACGGATATGCATCGATCCCAAATAATCCACGAGGTAGAAGCGAGCCATCAGTTTCAACAGTCATCCAGTCAGCTCTATGCTGGACTCCACACAGAGCATTGGAACTCAGCAACTTGTACAGAGAAATAGACCCTGATATAATACCATGGAAAAAGGATGGTGAGAAGATAAAGATCTTCAATTACAAAATTTACCAGGTCAACAGAGCTGACCAGGCCAACGATGGAGCGGCAATTGCTGTAAAAAAGAAATATTCTACACAAAATTCTAGATAATTTTCAAGAAAACTTCCTGGCAATTGAAATCCAACCTACGAAAGGTATAATCTTCATAGGAACATGCTACCAACCACCAAGACGTCCTTACCTTCCCCTTACCGATATGACACTCACCAGAAGGAAAAGACCTGCCTACTTCCTGGGAGATCTGAACGCCAAGCACAGAACACTGGGACACGGAAGGAACAACCAAGCAGGAGAAGCCATCCACATTATGATAAGGAACTGAAATCTAACCCACCTGGGTCCAGACTTCCCAACTTACGTCAAACAAGGCCACAGTGGTAAACCAGACATAATACTGTCAAACAACCACCACTTCCTAAACACCCGCACAGAAAGGGGTCCTGTGAGCACAAGCGACCACCTACCAATAATAATGACGCTGTCAACTAACCCTATTCAGAAACCCTCGCCACCAAGACTTCAATACACTAAAACTGACTGGGAAGCGTTCAAAAGCAGTGCACAGGAAATCAGTGTCACAGATTTTAATGGAAAGGAAACATCATGCATAAACGCCGAGTTAAATACATGGATTAACACCATAGAAAAATGCATGACTGATCACATTCCCGTAGCTCACCATATAACGCTCCCACAACCCCCCCCCCCCAGCCACTGAGGCGTTCAGGACACTGCAAACCAGATATAACAACCTTCTACAACTCAACACAACACGGGTGGACGGATGAGCGCAAAAGACTACAAAGGGAACTTCAAGATGAGCTACAAGATCTATGCAAAACAGAGTACACCAAACAATGGGATGACCTAACAAGCAATATCCAAGTCGACTACAGAAACCCAGGAAAGTTCTGGAAAAAAAGTAAAGACCCTGATGGGAAGCTCTTCTGAGGAAACACCCTACATCATAGACGCCTCAGGAAATAAACTCTATGCGGAGAGAGAACAAGAACAGGAATTCAGGAAGTTCTGGGAAAAAAAATATTCAGGATAAACCCGGAAGAAAATTTAAACTTTTGCCCCATTAATGACCTTATCATCCGCAATGACTGCCACCTTATGAAACACACAACCATTGCAGAGGTCCATAAAACAATTATGGGTTTCAAGAACAAGGCGCCGGGCAACAGCAAGATAAATAAGATGGTATTATCCAACCTACCAGTGATTGCACTCCATCAATACACATGTATAATAAATGCAGCTCTTGCATCTGGACTATTCCCCACATACTTCAAGAATGCCACAATAAGATTAATCCCCAAGCCAGGTAAACCACCAACCCAAACTGAAAGTTACAGGTCAATCTCCCTTCTCGAAGTACCAGGCAAAATATTTGAAAAAATAATCAATCAGAAACTTGTGAAGTACATGGAAGAGGAAGAGAAGTATAACACCAGGCAACATGGGTTTAGGAACTGCAAAGGGACCCATACGCCAGTAGTCCTGATCTACGGGCATATAGCCAACGCAGTGTCGAAAAAGATCAGTGTAATATAGGCTTAGAGAAGTTTCGAAAGAATTCGACAGTGTGGCACACGGGCCTAAAATATAAGATATCTGAGCTAGGACTTCCTGAGAGATTTACTGCCAATCTCTGCAGCTTTATAGACAACAGAACTGCTGGGCATAATATCGGCAGCTACTTGGGAGACGTAATAGAACAGAAAAGTGGAGTACCGCAAGGAAGCTGCCTCTCCCCCACTCTATTCAACATATATACAGCTGACCTACCCCAACCCCAACATGGAGAATACATCACATACGCTGACGATGTCACCCAAATAATATGCCAACCGGGACCATCAAAGCCGCTACTAGCTGACAAGACCAAGGCAGCAATTGAACTCATAAACAACTTTGAGAAGCAATGGAAAATTAGCACTAACAAAAAAGTTTCAGATAATACACATTGCGAAAAGAAACCCAGACCCCATTATCCTTGACAACCATCCGATCCAATGTGCGGATGTAGGCAGAATACTGGGTCTCTGCCACAAGACAGAACACGAAATAATGGGTATAAATTGGATTTAGATGGATAACATGCGATTAACAATGCATAAGCAACAGGGCTCCATCAAGGAACATATAATCTCTTCTCGCAACCAAACCATCACCAGAGAAGTCTTAACAAACAACACAGAAATCATCGATAGATACAGCGATAGCAGGCGGCTTGACATCAGCGAGGCACTACACATCAAAAAGTCAACATCAGCAATCATTAGCCAATTAATGCACAACTATATTCTAGCAACTACAACTACAAGCAGCAAGAGGAAGTATGGGCCAATAGGCCTTCTGCAGTTACTTCCATTCATATGTTCACTTATCCAATTTATACCCATTGTTTCGTGTTCTGTCTTGTGTTTGTCACCTCACCCCAAACTTTTGTACCATATCACCTCATCCAATAGAGTTAACGTGGCGGCTAAGCTTGTTGGCTTAGCTGCCAACACCCACACATCGTGTCAGCAAGGCGGACAGCTCGCCTGCTTTCATACCTCCCACTGTATTTCCCACTTCTATACTTCCCTTCACCTATGCCTCTCCTTCCTCTTTACTCCCCCCCCCCCCCCCCCCCCCCAAAAAAAAGGGGTGAACCAGAATCAGTTTCACAGAAACGGTGAAAAATAAGGATTTAGGAGTATATATACAACACCAAACCTGCTGCCTGAGGGATATATTAACAAAATAACATGTGCAGCGTATACCAAACTGACAAATATCAGACTAGCTATCAGACCCCTAGACACACACAGGCCTTCAGAATGAGATATATATATATATATATATATATATATATATATATATATATATATATATATATATAAAAAAATATATATATAAATATATATATATATATATATATTTATATATATATATATTTATATATATATATATATATATATATATATATATATATATATATATATATATATATATATATATATATATATATATATATATATATATATATATATATATATATATATATATATATATACGTGCTACACAAGACCACCTCTCGAGTATATAATAGTGGCATGGAGTCCATACCTGAAAAAAGAATAAAATTAGTGGTGAGACCTGTTCCAGAGCCGAGGAACTCGTCTACAGTGAAAGGTTGAGCCAGATCAAATTCACTACAATGAAGGAAAGGCCTATAAAGAGTGATATCTTTACAACAATCTACATATATGAAGGAGAACTAACAAGGACAAAGAGGCAGTATTCACAATGAGAAACAAGACCCGAGGGCACGGGTGGGAGCTGGGTACACATGAGCCGGCGAGACCCCTGGAAAGACTCCAATGTAAGGGGTCGCAAATGTAAGGAGCTACAGTAGGGAATTGTCGAGGCAAAATTAACATGCAGCTTCAAGGAGGAAATACACCGGTAACCAGGAAGTATGAAAGTCATTGTATTCACCGACTAGGAAATGGAAAAGCGGGGCTAGGGAGCTATTACTCGACCCTGTTAACGCAATTAGGTGAGTATATACACACACACTCATACACACATAC